ATCCTCTGAGTAACGCCAAATGTAATTAGACTCAAATTGACCCACTTCATCCAGTGGCTAACCAGATATGCGATCGTGTCGTATAGATGGCTGCACACTTGGCAACGAATAGGTCGATCATCTGGTACAACTGGGTCCCCTGAAGGAAAACATGCACCAACTCAAGCATCATATAATAAATATTAAACGTCGCAATAGATACAGTTCCAAATACGGTACCTGTCGCCTCAACATCATCCTGAGTGACTGACAGGGCGCGTGTGCGAAATAGGTTCTCAGCTAGTTCACGCCCTGTGAGTTCAGGGAACTGTGCTGACACTGCACCTGCAGCCTAAACAAGAATTTTATAGAATAGCTCAATTAAAGCGGCATATTTACAGGAGCAAGATATCTCATCTGCATCAATCTCAGTTCATTTACCTACAAATTAGTCTTCGGAGGACGCGAATAAAAATTCATCAATTGGAGAATTATTAGCGGACGTTTGAAGCTAGGAACAGAGAAAACAGCCCTCTAAGGAATTTCAGAGTTTTTTGAATGCAAGTAATAAAAAAAGTTGGGCGCCATTCAATCAATACTGCCCCAAAAACTCGAAAAAATTTTGTGAAACTTTGCTCATAGTGGTGATTCGATACCTTGTTCACGAATATGAGTTTTTGGCGCCACTGGGCGCCAATTTGGCACTACACCTTTTTTGATCGAAAATCGATAAAAACATGCTTGATAGGGTTGTTTGATGCCCTGATCACGAATATGGCATTCATTTTTCGGCACCAGCGCCATTTAGCGCTCCTCCAAGGTTGAGCCCGGGAGAAGGAGTGATTCCCTCTAAGCCATGCTCAGCCGTAGCAGAGCGCAGATGCCCTCGAGTGCCAAAAATGAATGTTATACAGTATGCCAAATAACACTCATATACAAGTTTGGTGGATTTGGTGATCTAGGCCGGTGCCTGTGGCGCAGGCACCATGCAATTTCGGGCCAGCGAATGCGATATTCGTGTTTAGGTCGAGCTACCCCTAGAATCGAACTTTCAGCGAAATGTGTAATCGCTGGAAAAAAAGTCGGTCAAAATCTGGCCTGTTTCCGAAGATAGGATAGTAATAGCTGAATAGCGCCAAAAGTTGCACTATTCAACTATTACTACCCCACAGAAAACTGAACGTGAAACCAAAATGAGAACATACTCTGTCAGTTAAGTCAACTCCGATGTGTTTAGCGATTCCTGATTCAGGTTGATGTCGTGCCTGCACGTGCTGTGTATATTGCTGTCGTCCTTGGAGTATAGCCGGACAGTATTCACAGTAAATTGGACCGCGATTGTGCACTTCCTTGTGAAGTTCGAGCAGCTCTTAAAAACAGCTAACTAATTCTCTTTACTTATCATCCATGTAAACAAGGTCAAGCATCTTGCGTCGCGGAGAATCGTCATCCAAAACAAACACCGTTTTTTAAATGGAATCTATCCATTTACATGCCGATGTAATATGCGACTAAGGGTTGCGTAGTAGTTGACAAGCAACAGCGCTGAAACATCAACATCACTATTAATGCGGCTAACAGAGCTTCAATCCATTTTGAAGAAAGTATACATCAATCTCAAAAACGGCTGGAATGAACACAACTTTTTTTCATGATAACGATTAGACGCGGAAACCTTTACAACGGTTTTAGGACCAAGAAACGTCTTCATCTATCCAAGAAAATACGTCAAACACTGCTGAGCGCATTGTTTATCGAAAAACTCGGCCCAAGCCAACGGATTTTAAAACGGAAAGTTTGCCTTAAGCTACTTAAAAAAGTCCTTCGAATTCAGAGCCCATCAAGTTTCATCAGGAGACTCAAAGGACTTTCAGTATAACTCTTCCTTTGATGGAAAAATAAAAAGTGAAAGTAGAGAGCAGCTTACGTACGAGCTTTCCTATAGCATTGCTGCCAGCATCATCTCCTATTCAGAATCGGGGTGATGAAGATATATAGATCCATGGAACATGGATCTAATGTGGACTAAACAGCCCCCTGGGCCAGCTGATGGGTTCCTTGACGTGGTCACAGAAGGCTGCTGCTTTAATGTATGAGGTTGGCGGGAAAACTTCGGCTCACTTTTTCTTTCCAAAATTATTCTCTATTTTATAGAGAGGCGTACAAAATAAAATCAGTACAGCAATTACTGCAGAGATAACCTTGCCAGTTTATTGGAACAAGTTCGTGATGAACTATCGAAAACAATGCACGCCGGCGCGACGCAAAGTTGGACATCATCTCAACTTTGACTTGGGCTCAAGTCGTGGAGGTTTTCTCGGCTGTATAACGGTTGAATACGGGAGGCGGACCAAGCACGTCGAAAGAGCACAATGAAGCTGGACTACAACCGCGCTATGCAAGGGGGGCGGAGCCATCCAGCTCTATTGCATGAAGTACGGCTCGAACTTTTTTTGAACGGGTGTGCTGCACCAGCACGTTGAAGACGGACTGTGCCGATGATTTTTGCCCTCATGCTTGACGGAATTCGCTTACAAGAATCTCGTAGCTTCCTGCGTGACGGAAGTGGACACGAGAGAGGCAGACTTTCTTCATCCAGTAGTTTCCCGACCCACCGCTATCTAGAGCTGAGTTTACAGGTACTCCCGAACCTCACTTCGTCATTCGAACCGTAGGCTCCCGCTCTGAAGAGCTAGCGTCGTGGAAGATTGTCTGATGACTGTAGACATTGTCCTTGTGCAGCTCCATTATTTCGGCGTCGACAGCTGCCATGCTGGCGCCAGGGTGGTAGAAGAAATAGTTTAAGGAAGCGCTTGAAGGGGTCGGTGCTGAAGGTAGCGGATAACATTCTTGTCCATAATGCAGAATAAGGATGAGCAGGAGCCGAGCCAGTGACACTAATAGAAAGATCAATCCTTAATGTATAAATGCTCACATTACCGGTTAGCCCTCTTCAGGTAATAGGCGAATACTTGGGTTCAAAAAAGTATGACAGAACTTTCCCGCCAACCTAATAGTTTCATTTAGAATGAAATAATTTGACATGAATTTCCAACTCGATGGATATACTGCACTAAACGGCGAGTACAAAAGCAAGGGCGTCTTTCACTAATTGCTGACGATGCTCCTTTGTTTACTGAAACTTGCACATACGACCCCTCTCCCTACCGGCAGGTCAAATGCGACCCATACGTTCGCGAATCCCGCGGCATGCGCTTACCTCTGAGAGACTCATTTAACACATTTAACATCCATAGAGACTTGCGGTTTTTTTAAACGTGTGTCTAATTTTGAGCATGGAACCCACCACTAGTTCTAAACGATTTGTGGCACGTCCAACAGAGATGTGGCCGAAGTCCCTGATGTTGTGAGCAATGTTCTTTGTACGCTCGAAATGAATAGAACGAATGGGAACAGAATTGGCACTGATATTTCCTGAAATTTTAAAAGATAAATGTAAAGTGCAGCTGTCGTGGAGGTAGCAGGAACTGAATCCAACTCACTTTGACGGCTGCCGAACATCACCTAGCGACTGGCGCTTCGTTGTTGTCGACAGTTCGGTCAGTTGACCATTCACCTCTTCTGGAAGCACTGTGATTGGGACACAGCGGTGCTTGTCC